TTGTCTTTGATTCGGTATCGAGTACGCAGTTATTTCAATCTGGTCTAACAGCGGTCAGTGCGCGTGCACAAACACATTCACCAAAGCTCCCCATATTATGGACGGATCCCTTATGTTCTGGAGACAATAAGCATACTGGGAGGAAGTAATCTGATGATACCCACCGAGATCTGGGGAAGGGTAGCTACAGATCCGTCTTTCCGTCTTGCTTGTCTTCTAGAGAATTCTTGTTCGTTAGCACATCATGGTATTGTATCGCAACTCACGCTTATCACCTCTGCAACTAGGAGCCACGCGGAAACCGGAAAGCAATAAAGGCTAACACTTCATCGGGATATTGACGAGAGAAATGCCCTGGCACGCCTGGTCCCCCCGGTTGTTCCCGTTCGTCTAAATTCCACCTTGATCACCGCGCCGACCTTGATTTGTCCAGCTCCTCATTGATGGGGCCGAAAGGAGCTGGCCGTTGCAAACCAACCTCTTTAGGCACCTGGGGGGCCCTTCCATCTGCACCCAGCAGAATCTGTCGAACCTCATCAAGAGCTTTCCCCATACCCCAAATCATCATGTTCATTCCACAGCAGTCCGATTCCCTCTTATCTCATGATATCCCTACACCATCGGGTGCTCGGCAGAAAGATAACAATTTTGGACAAGTTCAACCAGCTAGACTCTCTTTGGTGAACAAACCGAGACCACGGTAGAGTGAAAGGGGGAGAGACGAGTTCCCACGTGTACGCGGTTCTTTTAAACTTCAGCCATTTGACGTTCTGGATCTCTTCGACTGAAACTTATCTCTACGCGAAAGAGACGGTGCATTGTGCTCGACTCCATGAGTACATTCATATCCTTCCGCCTGCTTCCCAACACTCAGCTGTCCGCTCGAGGGACCCTGACCATTGTTGTCGCTTCGAAATGGACGTGATCAAAGATGATACCGTGGGCCTGAGTAGCGATGAGAGTCAACTCCTCAGTCTGGGCCACAAGCCAGAGCTGAAGCGAACATACAATTTCTGGAGCTGTAAGCGTGGCCGACAAAAAGCCAGCTGGTGATTTTCAAGGCTAATAAGTGCTGGGACAGTGATGGCATACCAGACCACCATTCTATGCTCATGGAGTTGCAATATTGTCATGTTCTACTACATATTTACGCTCGGGGGGCCGGTTTGTCTGGTCTGGGGAACGTGAGTCAGGTCTCCAAGAGTCTGTGGAGGAACATTTCTAACGGAGGCAAATCCTAGTGTCGTGGTCACGATTGGGCAACTCCTCGTCATGGCTTCACTAGCTGAATACTGCTCGATCTGGCCCACTGCAGGAGGCCAGCAGTTCTATACACAGGTATGTGTCGTACCAGTTGAGATGGACGACTGGTGGCTGACCTTATAGGTTGTCGCCCCCGAGAGCTCACGGCGCTTCCTCTCGTATCTTGTCGGCTGGTGTGTTCTGGTGGGAGAAATTTCGACAGCCAGCTCCTGCGCATTGAACAGCGCAGAAATTGTGGCGGCTCTCGTCGAGATCATCCATCCAAACGTTGACTGGAAGGTAGGAGTTGTCAAGCTGTCCAACCACTGTTGCACCCACTAAATCATTCACAGCCTTACATGACCTGGCTTATCTATACCGGCTTTCTTGTTGCTCCTGCACTGTCGAATCTGCTCCCAAAGTATCTTCCAGCCTTGCAACTATTCGGTGCATTCTTCAACATCTCGAATGCGCTCATCTGGACAATTGTTTTCCTGGTCTTAGCCGACAAGAACAGCTCCAAATTTGTATTCACCGAGTTTCTCAACACGTCAGGCTGGACGTCAAAGGGCTGGGTATTCATTCTGAGCATGTATGTTCCCATCTACGGCCTATATGGCAGCGATGGTGTAATGCACTTGGTCGAGGAAATGAAGAACGCTTCGCGCGACGCTCCTGTAAGTGATTGCCCCAGCGCTTTGGCTTCGCATTACTAACCACAGCATAGCGAGTCATGGTGTGGTCCATGGTGTGGGCTGGCGTAACTGCCTGGCTCTCAGCTATCGTTATGTGCTACACAGTAGGCCCCAATTGGGAAGATTACCTTCAAGCCACCTCGTCCTACGTGGTAAGGCCCAACAAGACGCATGCCGTTGTATCAACCAGCTAACGATTCTTCAGGAATGGTTCATGGAGGTGCTGGACTCGACGTATGGAGGGGGAATATGGGTTGCCATCATGATGATGGGCCTGAACGTATGTGATTTGCTCGAGGACGGTTTGCTGGTAACGAAACAGCTGACGGTGAACAGTATTTGATCATTGTCAACATGAACACCGCCGGTTCACGTCTTGCATGGTCGATGGCTCGTGACAGAGCTTTTCCCTATTCCGACTATTTTGCCCAGGTCAACAAGCGATTCCAGATGCCCCTGCGAGCCATGATGGGTTTTATCGTTTTGAACCTCCTCACGGGTCTCCTTGTGTTGGGCAGTTCGCTAGCCTTCTACGCGATAATTTCGGGAGGCGGCGTTGCTTTGCAGGTCTCTTACTGCATCCCGATCCTTTGCGTGGTTTTGCGAGGCCGTCAACACTTGCCACCGCGACCGCACTTCGATCTCGGTCGATGGGGTTACGCTGTCAATATCGCTGGGTTGCTATGGAGTATCATCGTGGTTCTTTTCTATGTCTTCCCCCAGTATGTCCCTGTCGTGGGTGAGATAGCGAACATGAATTGGGCAATTGTCATCCTTGCTGGGGTCGTCGTCTTTGGTGGAGTGTACTGGTTCTGGAAAGGCCGACACGAATACTTGATATTCAGCAACTCCATCCTCGACGACAACGTTGTTATTCACGGAGAGGCTGTCGTCACTGGCCGGGATGCTGCCGCCACTTTCGGACAATCTCAGCCCGAAAAGAGACTCGATCTGTAGGGAATTTGTGTATATTGGGAAAAGAGCAGGGTTTGGACAAGCGTGCACATATCAATTTTGAGCGAAAGGGGGTTGTCTGGAGTTTTGGCCTCGATTTATTCCGATGGCACGGATGATATTTAATGGGATACAAAGTTGGATGACTGGTACTCACGAGGATCGAGGACATGGCATATTGTCGGTATAAAAAGCTCGTAAATATGGAGACTTTGAAGGGTAGAATGCCTTCTACCTAGCAGTGGCAACAGTCGTAAGCATACAAGCAGGGCCAAACATGTTTTCCTGCTTGGTGCGAGTATGCCTGTGGTGCCGGGGCTAGGGATAATTTCATTCAAATGCCTCGGTGCTACGCGGGGAACGCGATCCCTTCGCGATCGCGTTTTGCTTAAAGAACGGAGCTTAGTGGCTTTTGCTACCCCCCTATTGTGCCCTACGATTTAGTCGTCAAAAAGGTTTGCGCTCTACGAAACGTTGGTCAGGCATGGGGGGCTCACAACTACTTCTTGCTGTTAGATGATCTCTTCCCACCACCCATCCAGCCGTCAAGGTCGTCGAAATGACTCGAATCAGCGAATGGCGCAGGCTCCCCGTCTCCCTTAATGAACTGTGCCTGGCAACCACCCTTCGCTGCGGGCAGTCCTTTCGCTGGCGACAATGCGACGACCAAACCTGGGCCTGTACACTTCGTGGTCGCATTGTCCAACTTTCCCAACCCGACAAATCGCACATCCAGTATCGCTCGGTATGGCCCGCATCTGCGACCGCTACACCGTCCTTTGAGGCGCCTCTGACACCTCCCTCGTCCGTCCCACCGACCAACGTCTCAGACGAGGACTGCAACAGTGTCGCTACTGACGGCGACGACGATACGAGATGCCTGATCCAGCACTACCTCAACCTGGAGCCGAATCTTGAAACCCTTTACGCCCAATGGTCTGCGTCAGACGCCAACTTTCGCAGGAAGGCGCCCAAATTTACGGGTGTGAGGATACTGCGGCAGGATGCGTGGGAGGCCTTGGTCGGGTTCATATGCAGCAGCAACAACAATATCATACGGATATCGCAGATGGTGGACAAGCTGTGCACCCACTATGGAACCTACATTGGCACGATGGAGGGTCGACCATACCACGACTTCCCAGCGCCGAAGGCGTTGACGGGCAAGAACGTCGAGAGCCACTTGAGGGAGCTGGGGTTCGGCTACCGTGCAAAATACATATATCAGACCGCGAAAATGATTGCCGAGGATCGAGAAGTCGGCTGGCTAGACACTCTTCGCAATCCCGAGTCTCCTGCATACGGCACCACCAAGGCGTCTCCTGCCGGCGAAATGAAACCTGAAGGTCGTGACGGCTATCGTGCCGCACATGAGAAACTCCTCGAGTTACAAGGCGTGGGCCCCAAAGTGGCCGATTGTGTTTGTCTGATGGGGTTGGGTTGGGGTGAGGCGGTGCCGGTAGACACACACGTGTGGCAGATTGCGCAGAGAGACTACAAGTTGGGAAAGGGGAGGAACAGTAGTATGACCAAGGGGACATACGATGCGGTGGCGAACCATTTTCGGAAGATATGGGGTAAGGAAGCAGGGTGGGCGCATAGCGTGTTGTTCACGGCAGACTTGAGGACGTTTGCTGAGAGACTCACAACCAAGGTGGAAGTCAAAGTCGAGAAAGGGGAAGGAGAGGAAGGGGAAAAGGGAAGTGATGAGCAGTCCAAGGTTGTAAGGAAAAGGACTGCACAACGAGTATCCCTTAAGCGGGGGCCTGAGCAAGACGGGTTCAAGACCGAGATGAAGGTTGAAGAAGAGGTAACGACAACTTTAAGTGAAAGGGTCAAGCGGCGACGACGTAGATAATGATGAAACTTCGACCCGTGTTCACCAGTATTATCATCACTAGGGCCCAGAGTGTCTAAATGTCGAAACACGGGTGTTGATCACGGACTACCCAATGGGGACCGTGACCAAGGATGTTTCAGTAGCACGTGTGAACGTGAGCGCGTGAGCGTGAGCGTGTCTCTCCTGTCCCGGTACTCGGAACCTCTTGTGTAGATGTACGAGGATGTACACACTACCGTATTTGTGCTGGGAGAAAGCACCAGCGCAAGATGACCCGGCGCTCGGAATACTCATCCAAGTCCGACGGCTTCGAAGCATGGGGTTCCCTGGCTGATGACGACTTGTGTTCCAACAACCGAAGTGTACAGTCCCTGATTTTTGCTACACTGTGGTTCTTCTCGCACATTGTCCGTTTCGATCGTTTGATGCTATCGATTGCTCGCACACGAGAGGAGATGGAAACGTTGCTCAATGTCACTCTGCACGGAGGACGGAAGCAAGCTGAAGCACAGGTCAAATCAAATCGTGGCTATGAGGAGATCCACGGTCCCTCTCTCTTCCCTCTGTGACCAGCTCCTTCAGGGAAATTGCGCTCGCCGCAGCGTCAGATTTTGAGTTGTGGCAGACGACCGGGTCAGAGCTGGACATCTTGGGACGTCCAGGATGTCTGAAAGGGTGTTGGATCTCTCGTACACGGACACGACTACAGTCATCTCTGGTGATTTCATTCGAGAAGAGTAGAAGATTCTGTGGCCGTTCTGTTGTCCAGTCGATCGGAGAAGATGTCCTGTTGATGTGTGTTTCTCGACAGTAATTGGTGGCAACAATTTGTGGCCCAGATTGAGGCTGCGGAGATGGATGGAGGGGCTTTGAGAGGCCTGGAGCAGCTTATAGGTGGCTTCAGCGGGCTACAGGCATTTCATGGGGCCTGACTGGATGACGGGGTGACGCCGGGCATTTGGACATCCGACTCTGCAGCAACCGCGAGTGCCCCAAAAGCTTTTTGCAGGATTGTTCCTGGGCTTCGTGGGCCTATCGTGGCAGCTTGACCACTCTTAGGCCTTCTCTTGCTTAGGAGCTTCTGACGCTGTTCCCCTTCTAGTCGCACTTGTGCAGGTGGTACAAAGCCCACGCCGACAACTCCACTACTCACTTGGCCTTGTTTTCCTGCCCCAGAACTTTCCCAGGGCTGGCCTCGAGCGAGTCTGTGGCTTGCCCTCCTCACAATCCTCAATCGCCCTACACATCGCCAATTGTTCACTTTTTCCGCTACGGACAATCTCCTTTCGTCACTGGCAGCTTCTTTTCCAAGGATCTTCATCTTGACCTTCCTGTTCCCTGCACAACCTCGCAAACCAACATATCCTCAAGCTCACGACTGTCACTCCTTCCTGTCCGTCGTCCTTTTTTTTCCGTCCTACCCCCTCTCTACCTCTTGACCCAGAATACCATCCCATAGGGTTTGGATTTGGATTTGGGTTTCGGTTGTCAAGAAAACATCAACAAACCCTCTGTCCTCCTCTTAATTCAATTACTCCACTACTACCAGAACACCACTCCGTTTCAATCCATCCCTGCTCCTTCGCAGTCCTTGCCTACGCGTATTCGTCTCCCGTCATCAGTTTAAATCCATCGCGCTCGACCGCACTCGACCACGCCCAACTCCGAGTTACCAGTTTTAGAAGCTCTCTGTCACCGAGCCTCTGGTCCGCGTCGTTACCAACTGAGCATGCCTCTACGAATATCACCGTTGTAGCTCCTCCCTCCTCCGTCTCGTCGCTACGGCGCAGGCACAGATCGCACAAAACCATGCATCTGCTGTCACGGATCGGCTCCAAGGCGTCGACCGCTTTACTGCTACTGGCCACACACGCGGTTTCACAGACAGTACCTTCACCTAATCTCGACATCAAGTCCCTCGGGCAGGTCACCCTCGCAGGCGATTTCGACGCAATTTCTGTTTACACGTCAATTGGGCAACGAGAAGGATTAAGTGGCAATGGCACACAGTCAATATTGTCCCGGCTACCAAACGGGGCGTTTGATATTCTGTCCTCTACCGATGCAAGCATCGAAGCCCTTTGTCCGCTGGTGGTTAATAACACACTCATGGGGATCGTGGTCGGAGGCAATTTCACCAGTGTCGGAGGTGTTGCGGCGCGATCTCTAGCATGGATGAATGCAACCTCTCTGGAAATCCAGGCAATTGGTGGGGTGCAAGGAACGGTATCGGCACTCTATTGTGATCGGGACAATGGAATCCTCTACGTTGGTGGTGCCTTTGACGCGGGTAATTCAACAAATGCAATTGGATGGGCAGCAGGGGGCTGGTCGAGTCTACCCTTCGCCGGTTTCGATGGCCCGGTCAGCTCTATCACCAAAGCCCCCGACGGCCACATCATCTTTGGAGGTTCTTTTACTGGTCTGGGCAATATATCGTCGAGTTCCCTGAACAATCCCGAGATCCAGGTGATCAACCTCTCGACCGCCAATCTCACTGCCCGGGGAAACACGAGTACCGCGGGCTTGGGAGATCCAAAGAACATTGTTTGTCCATCGAATAGCACCGATGCTTCGTCCAACTTTTTACTGGCCGACAACACTGCTGGTAGTTGGCGAGCTGATCTGGCTTTCGGTTTCGAGCCTACTAAGCTCCGACTGTGGCAGACAAGTCAAAGTGGGAAAGGAACAAAGACATGGCGCTTTACGGCGCACCCACTCAATGGCATCCTCAACTTCACCACTACCGACCCTACCACTGGAGATCTGATTTCGTGCTCGGCAACATGCCCACTTGCAGAGTACAACGCGTCACAGCCGTATCAAGACTTTTTCTTCGTTAATCTGGTGGGGATGAACAGCTTCACCATTGACATTTCGGCCTGGTACGGCAGTGGAGGTGGCCTTGGGGGGATTGAACTGTTTCAAAACGACATCTTCTCCTACGCCATTGAGGCCTTCAACGAGCCCACCTGCGAAGCCACCAGTATCCGATCCGAAGCCACCGCCACTGGGCCATGGTATACGACTCCGTCGAGGGAAAGTGTGTCGGACTATCTCACTGTCGTGGTGGGTCCCACAACCGTTGACAACACGCTGATAGTTTTCGAACCCAATGTGCCGCAGAGCGGAAACTATTCTATCATTGTCTATACCCCTGGCTGTCTGCAGGATAGCTCGTGCTCAGCACGTGCCATTGTTAACGTCACTGGCAGCCTGACGCAGGATGGAAAACAATCTTTCGGCACTACGATTTTTCAAACCAACGACTTTGACAAGTACGACATCGTGTATCAAGGACATGTGGATGCCAGCACCTCATCTTTTCGGCCTGCAGTAACTCTCAGGCCATCCGGACAGCAGGATGCACAATTGGTTGTCGCGTCTCGAGTCAAGTTCGGCTTCACGTCGACGACCGGTGGTCTCAATGGCTTGTTCGACTATGATCCTGACAACCAAACTGTTGACTATGCCACCGCCGACTTCTCCAAGTCTGCCATCAACAACGCCGGCACCACGCTAAAACCCAACGCAAATGTTCTGGCACTGGCAACGCGCGATGACACCATTTACGCGGCGGGTCGATTCTCTGACGACGTCTTCGAGAATATCATGGCTTTCCGCAATAACAATGCGTCCTCTTTGCCTGATGGAGGCCTCAATGACGCGGTGAACGACCTTTACAGCTTGGATGACTTTTTGTATGTGGCAGGCAATTTTACCAACACTGTCCAGGCCAATGTGGATGGATTAAGCAACGTTGCTGCCTATCAGTATTCCAAAAACGCATGGGTGCCACTGGGTGCTGGACTGGACGGGCCGGTGGAAGCGGTTGAACCGATGCAGCTTAACATCTCCCAGAGCGGGGGCCCAGAGACTGTGATCGCTTTCAGCGGCGCTTTCACGCGGATCCTCGCGTCTGGCTCCACAGCCGTGTCTCGGGTGGACGGATTGGCAATCTGGGTTCCATCGCAGAAGGGCTGGCTGGCGAACCTCGATGTACCGAAGGAAGCTTTAGTTGGTCGACTGTACGCCGCGACATTTCTACCGAATAACACTTGGCTCGGGGCTGGGACAATAAACTCACTCGGACTAGCCATTAGTGGTGCTGCTGGCCTTCAGTCTGAGTCTGGTGGTCAAGTCGCGCTTTCGCGACTACCCATCAACATCACCCCCAGTGACGTTCAGTCTGCTACCAGAAAACGAGCTGTCCAAGCCACGCAGAATGTGACTGGTGTCAATACAGGGCTCTATTACACCGCTCATGGACAGAATGTGACTGTCCTGGGAGGACACTTTACAGCAACTGCGAGCGGTGGATCCACCATTGAGAATCTCATGTTCATGAACGGGTCCAACAACGACCAAGTAACGGGTCCGCCGACCGGTCTCGATGCCAGTTCCACCGTGCTGGCTCTGGCCCTTTCAGACAACATCCTCTTTGCTGGTGGTACCATTTCCGGACGTGTTGAGAATACAGACATCAATGGTCTGGTTTTGTACGACATGAGCACCGCGGCATACCGAGCAATCCAACCAGCATCATTGCAAGGGAACAACGTAACGGTCAACGCGATAGCTCCACAGTCAGGTTCAACAGCCGTGTATGTTGGTGGATCGTTTGACCGGACATCCCAAGAGCTATCTTGTCCCGTTGTTTGCATGTACGACACGGCAACGAGTCAATGGAATACTGTTGGAACTGAATTGGGAGGCACCGTTTCGTCTCTTTTCTGGATGACTAAATCGAATCTTCTGGCAGCAGGTGATCTAAGGGTACAAGGCAATCAGACGTCGCTGGCGACCTACAGCACTGACAGTCAGACGTGGTCTGTGTATCCAGTCGCCGGTATTCCTGGACCGGTAACGGCATTCTGCCCTGCCACCACGGATGCGGATCACATGTGGGTTGCAGGTACAGCGACCAACGGCTCGACCTTTTTGGTCGAGATTGATGGAGACAATGTGAGACCCGTCGTTGATGCTTTTGATGATGGCACTACAATCCGCGGTCTGCAAATCATGCCCTTGACTCGAGACCACGGGTCGACCGCATTCCTGGACAACGACTATGCCTTGCTGGTTACGGGTCAACTGAACATCAACGGGTTCGGAAATGCCGCAGCAGCACTGTTCAATGGCACACACATGGAGCCTTTGATATTAGCGTCTACAGCGGACGGAAGTCCTGGCAGCATAAGTCAGGTCTTCTCCTCGCAGACCAATGTTCTTCGATCGAGTGGTGAGTAAACTTTTTCCCTGGTGAAAACGATTTCGACTGACCCTTTGACAACAGAAGGTGGCCACTCCCTTGGCATCGTGATTCTTGTCGCCCTCTGTGCCGCATTAGGCACCATCTTTCTGATAATCTTAATCGGCATCATCCTCAACTACATTCAACGAAAGCGGGCTGGGTACAAGAGCGTGCCCAGTGTCCCGTACACGGACAAACATTCCAACATCCATCGGGTGCCTCCAGAAGCCCTGCTGGGCAATCTCGGAACAAAGACTGGAGTACCTGCGGTGTGAAGAATGGAAACGTGATGACAAAAGAGATGATGATGCCACG